AAAAGCCTCTTCAACAAATGGTGTTGGGAAAACTGGACAGCTAATGCAAAAGAATGAAACTGGACCACCTTCTTACACCATACACAAAAACAAAATTCAAATGGGTTAAAGACCTAAATGCAAGACTTGAAACTGAAACAATAAAAATCCTGTAAGAGAGCACGGACAGTAATTTCTCTGACATCAGCCATAGCATTTTTCTAGATATGTCTCCTGAGGCAAGGGAAATAAAAGCAAAGATAAACTATTGGGACTACATCAAAATAAAAAGCTTCTGCACAGAATAAATTAATCAACAAAACTTAAAGGCAACCTACTAAGTGGGAAAAGATAAGGGGCACCTAGCTGCCTCAGTTGGTAGAGTATGTGACTCTTGATCTCAGGCCATGAGTTCAAGCCCCACACTGGGCATGGTGCCTACTTAAAGTTTAAAAAAAAACAAAACTGGAAGAAGATATTTGCAAATGACTATCCGATAAAGGGTTAGTATCCAAAATATATAAAGAACTAATACAACTCAACACCCAAAAGGCAAATAATCCAATTTAAAAATGGGCAGAAGACATGAACAGACATTTCTCCAAAGATAGATAAGCAGATGAAAAGATACTAAAACAGACACATGGAAAGATACTCAACACTACTCATCATCAGGGAAATGCACACCAAAACTACAATGAGATATCACCTCACACTCGTCAGAATGACTAAAATAACACAAAAAATAACAAGCGTTGGTAAGGATGTGGAGAAAAAGGAACCTTCCTGCACTGTTGGTGGGAATGTAAACTGGTGCAGCCACTGTGGAAAACAATATGGAGGTTCTTCAAAAAATTAAAAATAGAACTACCCTACAATCCAGTAATCACACTACTAGGTATTTACCCCCACAATACAAAAACACTAATGTAAAGGGATACATGCACCCCTATGTTTATTGCAGCACTATTTACAATAACCAAAATATGGAAGCAGTCCCAGTGTCCAGTGATAGATGAATATACACACACAATGGAATATTATTCAGCCACAAAAAGAAATATTGCCATTTGCAACAACATGAATAGAGCTAGGGAGTATAATGCTAAGCGAAATAAGTCAATCAGAGAAAGATAAATACTATATGACTTCACTCATGTGGAAATTAAGAAGCAAAACAAATGAGCAAAAGAAAAAAAGAGAGAAAGAAACCAAGAGACAGACTCTTAACTATACAGAACAAACTGATGATCACCAAGGGGAGGTAGGGGGCAGGGAATCGGTGAAATAGGTGATGGGGATTAAAGAGTATACTTATCATGATGAGCACTGAGTCATGTATAGAATTGCTTAATCACTGTATTGGACACCTGAAACTAATGTAATACTGTGTGTTAACTATACTGGAATTAAAATGAAAAACTTTAAAAGAAACATAAAAAAACAAACAAAGTGCTGAATAGAAAAAAATGACACTTTTAGCATAATACCATTAATATAAATTTCAAACATACAACATATGACTGATTTTATAAGGGATATATATATATACACACACACACACACTCATTTAAGGATGCATACGTGTGTGCATGCCTATGGGGGAGAATAGGAGTTGGGAATTATTTGGGAAAAAATAAACCAAGAAATGAGTGTTGGACTAAATAATTTTGATAATGTACTATGAATTGAACTCCAAAAATATAAATAGAGATTTAAAAAACCAAGAGCCATACCTTTCTGGCTTTTTTTTTTTTTTTAATATTTTATTTATTTGACAGAGAGAGACACAGCGAGAGAGGGAACACAAGCAGGGGGAGTGGGAGAGGGAGAAGCAGGCTTCCCACCCAGCAGGGAGCCCGATGTGGGGCTCAATCCCAGGACCCTGGGATCATGACCTGAGCCGAAGGCAGACGCTTAACGACTGAGCCACCCAGGTGCCCTCTGGCTTCTATCTTAATAGAAGACAGAGTCCTAACAGTCTCAAATATCCAGACAGCCGCTGAGACTCTGAAGCTGCAAATTCACAGGAGCTGAATTTACAATTCTGTCTTACATGAACAGCTGGCTTTTGGGCATGCAATTCAACTTCTGGCTTGATTTCATGATTAATAAATGTCATGTTAAATGTTACATATATTACATTCTTTCAAGTAATCCTTACCAAAACAAAAGTCTGGAATTTTTCCTTCAGTTTTATAAATAACTAAACTAAGCTTGAAAGAAATATAATCACTTTTCAGTTTCTCCTAAAAGAGTTGACATCCATATGAAGGTCTACTCCAACACCCCTACTTGTGCCAATAATCAAAATAGCAGATAGCTTCCCTACTTTTTCTGGAAGAATATGTGATGAATTACCATGCAAATGCCTTTAAAAAAGCTAACCAGGAAGGTGAGTCATTTCTCTGTCACTAAAGTATCCTCACCTCATGGCTTCAAAGAATCTGCTTTTCTCCACCACATAACCCATTGTCTGTCTTGAGTTTTGTGGACAAAGTAGAAAATCTTAGTAGGGTACAGCAAATTAATATGCTAAGTAGAAACTCGAAATCAATGTGAAATCATATTCAAAAAAGGAAACATTTTTTCCAGCTGTCTCTAAAAGGAGCCCAATCATAATGGCAGCAATTTTGCCCAAAATTCATGCAAAGTCCTAGCATCCAAATATAGTAACTACTAAAAGGGCACAGGACTCTGCGGGAAATTTACTTATATTTCACACAAAGCTCTGTTTTGTGTTTGCTCAGGAAGAGAGATCTGAAAAACTTTTAAAAAGAAAGAAAACCTTCTATAGGCAGAAGAGAACAAGTGGAGGCATATCGCATCTAAGAAGCTTAGCGGCATTTCCTTTTGACTCATTTATATTCAGTTGAGGCAACTTTAAATAATCAACTTTCAAATGGCCATTTTGAACTTATTAAAACCGTGTTTCGGGGCAACACGGTGGCTTTGTACTATCACCTTCCATGGCTCAATAAACCTTGCTTTGCTGCCCACCAAAAAACAAACAAAAAAACCCACAGTGTTTCAAAAATCCTGAAACAACTTCAAGTTTTATAAACGATAATTAATATGTAATTCTTATTAGTGTGAGCTTAATATATACTTATCAAAGTAAGCTCTACCATGGAGTTGAGCTATCTTTTTCCTCTTGAGCAACATGAATGATAGAAAACAAAAAATACAGTGTATATGGAAAATCCAATCTTAGACTCTTTCTTAGACTGCAAGTCTGGCTAGCAAGACCTTTAACTGAGAAAAATTATTTCCTTTCTTAAGAGGGAAACTTCTATTTCTGATTTCATATCCCCTTTCGAATACATACGTTTGTTTTTTCCCTTCCTATATTCCTTGCAAGGTAGCTAACTTCATGATTTGGGCAAAGAAACACTGAGGATGGGTCTGGAACATCCTATTATTGCCGGAAAGTAAGGATGCTTGCAAAGATGTCAGAGCAGTGCTGAAGGGAGCAAAGAGTCAGTCTAAATTGGCCCCCAGGGGCTCATTCTGACAATTTGAGCATCACAATATATACATTATAATTAATTGAAATGTGTTAAGTCGTAAAAGGCCATGAATTCCTGAGACTAAAAAGAAAAATGTTAAAATGCAATACACAAATACAGAATGAATGATACATATGAGAATGAATTTAGTAAGTACAAAGTGTAATATTTACATGTATGGATTACATATATGTGTATATATAAATATATATGTAATATACATATACAGACACATACATAATTCATATATATATGGATTACCTTTCCAAGAGGCATATAAAGCATATAAATGTGTATATGTGTGTGTGTATACACAGTATAGACAGATCTCTTACCTTTCCCAGGTTTTTCATCTCTTTAATCAAAAGTCAAATTCAAAAGAGGCTTCCTCCCCTGGCCATACAATCTAAAATATCAACATTGTCCCCTACCTCTTCCTTCATCTTCTCCTTAGAATTTATTCTCTTACATAATATATTTCTATATGTATTTTTTATTGTTGGTCTTCCTCACTAGAAATTAGCTCTATTGTAAAAAAAGCAGTGATTTCTGTCTGTGTAGTTCACTATTGTATTTCCAATGCCTACATTAGAACAAAGCCTAGCACACAGTAGGTACTCTACACAAAATGTTTCAATAAAACACACACACACACACCTCCTGCTTAATCAAGAGTATATAAAAGAAACATTTTAAATATGACAAGCAAAAATTGCACAAACTGACAAGGCAGAAAGATATGTTCAGCAGCATAAATAACCAGATTAAAAAAGGAATCCAACAGGGCGCCTGGGTGGCTCAGTTGGTTAAGCCACTGCCTTTGGCTCAGGTCATGATCCTGGAGTCCCGGGATCGAGTCCTGCATCAGGCTCCCTGCTTGGCGGGGGGTCTGCTTCTCCCTCTGACCCTCTTCCCTCTCGTGCTCTCTGTCTCTCATTCTCTCTCTCTCAAATAAATAAATAAAATCTTTAAAAAAAAGGAATCCAACAGTTCCACCACCACTGGTCATACTCAATAACCGAGTGGAAAGGGTTTTGCCAGTGTGTTCTAAACGATTTAGTCCATGTCCTGAAAAGAATTAACTGAACAAACTCAAACCCTCATCTCCTAGGACAAGAAATCTCTAGAGGACCCTAATAACTGTAAGATAATAATAAGCATAAGTTTTTAATAATGCTAAGAGATCAAGTCACTGTATCACAATAAGACAATGGGTTGTATAGCTGCAGATAAATGAAATTTAATACCTCATTGTGAGGAGAAACACCCGATTGTAAAGCACAAACACCTGTGCTAAAGGCATGGATGTAACAGATTTTACCAACATTACAAGTTTGTTTTTTTTTTTAAAGATTTTATTTATTTGAGAGAGAGAGACAAAGCGAGAGAGGGAACACAAGCAGGGGGAGTGGGAGAGGGAGAAGCAGGCTTCCCGCCGAGCAGGGAGCCCGAAGCGGGGCTCGATCCCAGGAGCCTGGGATCATGACCTGAGTCAAAGGCAGACGCTTAACGACTGAGCCACCCAGGCGCCCTATCCATAAACTTCTTAAGCCAAGCTTTCAATCTCCCCACAAAAGAAGACCTCATTTACAATTCTATTATATTCTATTACACAGTATGTTTAAACCCATACTGAAAACAGAAAATCAAAGAATTCCTTTAAGATGAGGAGCCATTCATTAATGTGACGGATCCATTATTCTCTTAGCTTGCCGCTCTTTCTTTAAAGGCCTATAGTGAGTCACCACCACAAATGATTTTAATTCCTTATGGGAAAACCTGTTAAGGAGTTTTACTAGGTGAATTTTTAAAAATCTATCCTTATCATGAGTCTAATAAATACCAAATTAATTTTTATCAACAAATAAAATGTAATAATTCTCTCAACTTTATGAAGGCTGTGTATTCAACTTCCATATACTTGTTTTAGCAAAAGGTTTCTCAGGAAATTATGCCATAAAAGATTAAGGCTTTCTCACATGTATAGCAAACACAGGGTGTATGAATCAGAACTGTAATTCCAAGAGGCAAAAATCCAATTCAAATTAAGCAAAAAGAGAAAATTTATTGGATCACAAAAATTAAAAAGTAAAAGATGGTATAGACTTCAGGCATGATTGAATTCAGAAGGTCAAACAATGTCATCAGATTTGTCTCTTATCTCCATTTTCCTCTGTCTTGGACTGATCTTGGGAAGGCTTTCCTCATGCGGTGACAAAAAAGCTACTGGTGAGTTTTGAACCTTGAAAAATCCTTTAAATCCGTGAAACTTGCAATTCCAGGAAAAAAAATGATCTTTTCTTACTATCCATAACAATACCCCCCTAGGGTTCTAGTGGTCCAAACAGGGCCATCTGCCCCTCCCTTATTAACCAAATTGTGGCCAGCCTATGACCAATCCACTGCTCTCCCTAATAGTTTCATCAGAATGATATGCACTGAGGGTGAGGTAAGTTTCAAATGGGGCATAGAACAGATCCAAAAGTAATAGATGTCTACTATTCAGGCTATTTCAAATAAGGGATGCTCATAAACTGAAGGCTTTTCCATATTTACTACATTCATAGAATCATTAACCAAAGAATTCACTGATATTTATTTAATAAGGACTGAGTGGTGACTAAATGTTCTTTCATATACTTGTTATAATCAGAGAGTTTCTCTATTATGAATTTTCTGATGTCGTCTAAGGGCTGAGGCACAGCTAAAATTATTCCCACACTCATTACAGTTATAGGGTTTGTCTCCAGCATGAATTCTCTGGTGTAGCCTAAGGGACAAGATCTGATGGAAAGCCTTCCCACATTCATTACATTCATAGGGCTTCTCTCCAGTATGAATTCTCTGATGCTGATTAAGGTATGAGCCACAACTGAAGGCCTTCCCACATTTGTTACATTCATAGGGTTTCTCTCCTGCATGACTTCTCTTATGATGAATTAGAACTAAAGCATCACTGAAGGCTTTCCCACATTTACTGCATTCAAAAGGTCTCTCTCCACTATGTATTCTATGATGTCGATTAAGTTGTGAGTCAGTCCTAAAAAACTTCCCACATTTGATGCATTCATAAGGCTTTTCACCTGTATGAATTCTCTGATGTTGATTAAGGTGTGAGCGATAGCCAAAAGTCTTCCCACATTCATTACATTTAAAGGGTTTCTCTCCTGTATGAATCCTTTGATGCAGTGTAAGGGCAATGCGTCTGCTGAAGGCTTTTCCACATTGATTACATTCATAGGGTTTCTCTCCAGTGTGAATTCTCTGATGCTGATTGAGGTGTGCACTCTGTCTGAAGGCTTTGTTACATTCCTTACATTCATATGGTTTCTCTCCTGTGTGAATTCTCTGATGTTCAACAAGGAAGGCATAACGGCTAAAGGCCTTCCCACATTCATTGCACGCAAAAGGTTTCTCTCCAGTGTGGATTCTCTGATGTTGAGCAAGGTGTGCACTCTGTCTGAAAGCTTTGTTACATTCCTTACATTCATATGGTTTCTCTCCAATATGAGTTCTTTGATGTTCACTGAGAAAGAAATCATGGCTAAAAGCTTTTCCACAGTCATTGCATACAAATGGTTTCTCTCCACTGTGAATTCTCTGAGGTTGAGTAAAGAATGAATAACACCTAAAGGCATCATCACAGTCATTGAATCCATGCGGTAATTTTCCAAAATGAGTTGCTTGATGTTGAGTAAGTAATGAGTGGAAACTTAAGAGATTTGAAAAATCATTACTTTCATAAGGTTTCTCCCCAGGAGGAATTCCTGTATCTTTACTAAGGTATGTATTCTGGTTGAAATCTTCACATTCATTATCTATCAAAGATTCGTTCTCAGCAGGTAATCTTTTATGTTCAATTAGGATGGAATCTGGGGGAAACATTTTATCATAAATATCAAATTTATGTACTTGCTCTACTGTGGGAACTCTCTCTTGTGTTGAAAGTACTGATTTCAAGAGAACACTTCTCTCATTATTATTATATTTATTGTCTCTTTTCACAGCAGAGATTTCCTTAAGAGCTGTCACTTGCCTGAAATGCCTCTCCTGCTTTCGTTGATGCTGCTCAAATTCACCCTCATATTTCCAGGCTTCTCTGAAACTGGAATATTCCAGGTCATAACTTGTAAGTCTTTCCATTACCATCCCCTGGGATATATCCTCTTCATCAATGTACCATTTTGGAGATAATTCCTTGATTTCATACCAAGACTCCCAGTCTGAAAAATATCAAGAAAGCAAATGTGTCCTTTTTGCCTCTGCAAGGAGAAAACTGTTATAGAAGAAACTGAAGAATTTAATTGGAGGAATGAGGGGAAAGTACATGGTTTTGACACCTTTCAAATATGGCCAAGCAAATATGAAAAAAATACAAAGAAAGAACAAAGAATGAAGAGAGCTGATAAAGGAAGATATATGTGTTGGCAATGGGGAGGAGGTTATAGGGGAAATGTAGGGCATCAAGCACATTAATATACAGGTAAAATGCAGAGTATCAGCCATGGATTTTCTTTTACTTCAGGCTCTATCTTAACCAAGGCCCAAGAGGGATTTGTTCACTTATCCTCTATTAGGTCTACACTATTGTTCTTTTTTTTTTTGGTAGAAATTCATTGTTCCCTCACCAACTTTCCTAGAACCTTCTTTCCTATGTTCATCACCCAGGGCCACTACATTCCCTCTTACCAAGAATAAATCTTTTCTCTACTCCAGGCAAATGGCAGCTTTATACAATACCTACTGTAATGCTGAGTAAAAGAAGACTGATGGGAGAAGACTAGATATTTTCCAAATTCAGGTATTCTGAGATGCCTGGAGCTCCAAAAACTCTTTGAAAAAAAGATACTCTGTACGTAGGCATATGAATACTATAGGGGAAGGAATTCCATATAGGGGACTCCAGGGGACAGTATAGAGTATAGCCTGGGAAAGTACAGAGCAGGAAGTAAGTATTGTATATGTGGAAGACATATTCACAATGATTGGAGTACAGAAATACCTAGAAGTCAATGGTATTAAGGTATTATGGTGGCATTCAGCAAAAAGGAGAAGACAGACAATTCACCCATATCAGTGATTGAGAGGAAAAGGGAAGTTATGGATTCAGGCAAAGTGGAAGAGAGTCAAATGGGCATCCATGTGGCACAGTGGAAACAACACAGGGTTTGGGGTCATAGGTGAGTTTAAATCCTACTTCTTGACTTAGCTATCTAGTTATTCTAACTTTAACAAATTAACAAATTGATTAACCCAACTCTTGAGCGTCAGTTTCTTAGTAGGCAAAATGAGGTGACCTTACAAATATGGTATAAGAATAAAGAATACATTTAGGGGCGCCTGGGTGGCTCAGTCGTTAAGTGTCTGCCTTCAGCTCGGGTCATGATCTCAGGGTCCTGGGATTGAGCCCCACATTGGGCTCCCTGCTTGGCGGGAAGCCTGCTTCTCCCTCTGCCACTCCCCCTGCTTGTGTTCCCTCTCTCGCTGTGTCTCTCTCTGTCAAATAAATAAATAAAATCTTTAAAAAAAAAAAAAAGAATACATTTGGAAAATATCTAGGAGTGTCTATTTCATTATATGTATTCAGTGACACTTAACATTTTAAAATGAAACAAATTAATATGTATTCATTAAGTTATTCTTTTTTTTTAAGATTTTATTTATTTATTTGAGAGAGAGAATGAGATAGAGAGAGAGAGCATGAGAGGGGGGAGGGTCAGAGGGAGAAGCAGACTCCCTGCTGAGCAGGGAGCCCGATGCAGGACTCGATCCCGGGACTCCAGGATCATGACCTGAGCTGAAGGCAGTCGCTTAACCAACTGAGCCACCCAGGCGCCCCTTCATTAAGTTTTTCTTATACTTACACCATTAGTACTCTTAGAAATTACATTTATGTCCAAAAAGGGATTACGAAATAGACTGATGGTCAAATGGCAAGACAAAGAATGGGAGAAGTAAACCCTTTGGGGTTAAAATATATCCAGGCAATTAGAGATGTGTAATTTCCAACTGATTATAATCTATAAATGGATGGAAATTAAAAATCAAAGTATGATGAACTTTGGAATCCAATCAGAACTGCACAGAAAGTAGTAAGCATAGTTATTATAAGTTGGAAGAGGAAAAGGTCTTACTAGACTGTAGAGTCTCCCACATACGGAACTGATGAGCAGTACACAAACTGGAAGATTTCCTGATGAAGTAAATAATCTCCTGGCATGAAACCCAGAAGATTCTAGTAGGAAGTCTGGGAAAAAAGGACAGGACCTAAGGAGAAATCTTAAGAAGAAGAAAGTTTACTGCCAAAGCCCAGAATTCATGTTCCCATGAATAGCCTAAACAATGATCCACAGACTTATAGACTAGATCTCCATCTTTAAAAAACTGTATAGAGCTATGCTGTCCAATATGGTAGCCACTAACCACATATGGCAATTTAAATTCATTAAAATAAAAAAAAATTTAATTCAGTTTCTCAATAATACCTAGCCATATTCCAAGTGCTCAATAGCCAAATGTGGCTAGTGACTACAATACTGGAAAGCACAGATATAGAATATATCCAATGTTCTACTAGATGTCACTGGACAGAGATCCAAAGTAACATGACAAAGATGTTATGGTGGAATGAGGAAAAAACAGAAAAATAGGGGCATCAGTCAGTTAAAGGGAGAGAGAAACAGAATAGAGCTTTGAACAGAGAAAATGAATAGTGGTCAGAAATATCTTATAAATCTCAGGAAGCTGATGAATAGGAAAATAAAGAAAGGCACCTGGATTTAGCCAAATTGGAGGGAGCAGAGCCAGACTGCAAGTGGTAAGGCAATGTAAGAGAATTTGAAGTAAAGGCAATGAGTGGAGATTATAATTGGTATACAAGTAATTCGAAGAGAGAAGGTAGTATGGTGTACAGAAACACTGAAAAGGTCCTATGAAATGGTATGAAATTATTTCAAAGGAGTTTTTTTTTCAAAGAAGATTTAAGTGAACAAAAATATAAGACATAACTGTACAAAAAGGAAAACATACATACACATGCTTGCTTACCCCAACTTAATTTGTATCAGGTCAATTTCAATCAGAACTCCACAAGGATTTTATCTCTGAACTTAAATTATTTTAAAGAATGGATGGCAAAAGATGAGCAATAACATAAAAGAAAATTCTAAAGAAAAAAATTCTAGGACCAGTAATATGACCTAAGTATTGCATTTTATACCTTCCTTTCATTAAAATCCCTATGAAAGGTCTCAACCAAGGTGATTTGTAAAATTCTCTTTAATTATGGGGAAATGTCAAAGAGAAATACACCTGAAGCATACAAATTTATGGGATGCAGAGGAGAACAAAGAGCTCTGTAGTTCATCCCTTACCCCTCCTTCCCTCTCACAACCATCAATTTGTTCTCCATATTTACAGATCTGATTCTGCATTTTGTTTATTCATTTGTTTTGTTTATTTAGATTCCACATGAGTAAAGTCATATGGTATTTGTCTTTCTCAGTCTTATTTCACTTAGCAGGTACCCTCTAGAAGTCCATCAGTGTTGTCACAAATGGCAAAATCTCATCTTTTTATAGCTGGGTAATATTCCATTGTGTATATATACACATCTTACTTCTCCATTTGTCTATCGATGGATACTTAGGCTGCTTCCAGATCTTAGCTATTATAAATAATGCTGCAATAAACATATGGGTGCATACAACTTTTTGAATTAGTGTTTTTGTTTTCTTCAGGTATATACTCACTGGTGGAATTATTGGATCATATGGTATTTCTATTTTTAACTTTTTGAGGAATCTCTACACTGTTTTCCACAGTAGCTGTACCAGTTTACATTCCCACTGGCAATAGACTACGGTTCCTTTTTCCCTCCACATCCTAACCAATACAATGGTCTAAGTTTAAAAATTTTTTTAAAAAGCAAGTTGTAAATAGATGCATATAAAAATTGCATGTGTGTATTTACGCAAGGGAAATTCTAGAAAGATATAGATCCAACCATGCACAATACAGGTCTTTAGATGATATCTTGAGAGAAGAGAATACTTCCTACTTTATACATTTTTTAATTGCTTGAATATTTTCTAACAATATTATTTCTATTTCAAAGGAAAAAGGAAAGGGGTGCCTGCCTGGCTCAGTCAGTAGAGCATGAGACTCTTGATCGCAGGGTCATGAGTTCAAGCCCCACACTTGGTGTAGAGATTACTTTAAAAAAAGAAAAAAGGAAAAATGTTATAGAGCAGCCCTAATGCTGCTGGTCCTTAACTGCACATTTCCATATCAATCTAGATGCAGATTCCATGTGTTTTTTCCATGAGATTCCCTTCAACTAGGTGTGTTCAGGATGATGGAGTTTACTCAAATAAAAAACAACTCAGGGGCATCTAGGTGGCTCAGTCAGTTGAGCATAGGCCTTTGGCTTGGATCATGATCTCGGGGTCTGGGGATCAAGCCCCTCGTCAGGCCTGAAATTCCACCTCATTTTTAGGGACCTTGGGACCTCAGAGAGTCAGAAATAGCCCAGTGAGCACTCTCACCACTTCTCTCCCTTAACTACTTCATATGATCTCTCTACAAATCATTTACTAT